TTTCCCGCGGTAAAAAGTATCCTAGGATCGCGCGCTACATCGCCCGGTTTATATAGCTTGAGCAGGCGGTCGAGCGATGCGGGGCAGAGGGGATGGACTCGCCGTAGGCATCTCAATGCTCGCCAAGCATTAAAAATGTTTCGCTACTAATTACTTCTAACAACGATATCTCAAAAACTATTCATCTGATTGATTTAGTGTAAAGAGCAATTTTAATCTGCATTAAATGACTAAGCTAACTAAAATATTCATTTGGATAAGGATTAATACCGAACTAAAGAAAATAACTTTGAAAATAACGTAATGTTTTTAATTAAAAATGTTAACATAAAAGTGGTTATTGTAAGTCAACCGTAAGAGATAGAGATATGCTATCGCGGACTTTTTTATAGCATTTTTATAGATTTTGAATTCTCTAGTACATTACTTAACTGTATCTTTGCTAGTTTACGCGGCGTTCGCGTGGAAAGTTCCCATTTGGCGAGATTTTTTGCGACCTCTTCAACATTTGTCGCCGTATTTCAGCTAATTTACATAAAAGCATAATAAATTATATACCTAAACCTTCCTCAAGAATTACTCTTTCTATTGTTGAAAACCGTATAAAAATCCGTTCAGTAGTTTTCGAGTTTATCGCGTACAGACAGACAGGAGGACAGACAGGAGGACAGAAAGACGCGGCCGGGGGACTTATTTTTATAATAAGTATAGATGGTCAACGACATTAACAGATGTACACATTATGAAATATTTCCAGTGACGATGGCAAAAACTAATAATGTTTTATTCGTTCAATTAAACTTGATTTCATTTCTTTTTCCTCATTTTAGTGCTTTATGTGACTTGTTAGATTGATAAACATCATTAAAGAAACTATAAAAGTTCACTAGTAGACAATTCGTGGGACAGAGAAAGTGATTTACCAATTTTTACTCTATGTTCTACTCGATGTAAGGTGCAGAATGGGTTAGCGCTGTATTTCGTTTTTAAAGTCCAGTAAAAATTGCCACGTGTTCATAAGAGAGAAACTAATCTCAGCTACAGGAAAATATAAAATCTAATAGGACCTATTTATATTGTCTACATCCTGTCTCTATAGACTTCTTACGCTAAGTTATCATCTTAGCACTTTGTCGGTAGCAATAGGTATATACCCAAAATTTCACTGACCATCGAAATTATCCGGTATTCTTTAAGTATTTCATACTGTGTAAGAATCTTAATCTATTCAAATTCTGCAAATGTTTTATACTAGTTATATTATTATAGTGTTATGATATATCATATAATACTTTATATTATAAATGTATAATAGTCTGTAAATGATTGAGTAAATGTGTCTGTTACTTTATTATAACGGTTCAACAAAGAGTTAAATTCGAAATGAAAATCATTATTATCCTACACTAGCCACTCACCCTAGCTCCGTTCGAAAAAGTATGCTATATTATGTTGACCCGGAGAACCACCTATTTTCATCAAAATCTGTACAGTGGTTTTCTCGTGATACGTCTGTGTCCTGACAGACAAACAAAAATTCTAAAAACTATATATAATAATTACTATTTCAATAAGATTTTCGAAAAAATATTTAATGTACAGATTCGACTCGATTAGAATACCTATCTTTTAAGTGCAAGTCGACTGCATGCAAACTGCTATTATAACTATTATTATAAATGATCATTTATCTGTACGATGTAATAAAGATAACATATTTTCTTAGATTAAAATTAACCTAATTATTTCAAGTCTCATCAATCGGTACAACAGTGATTCTAAAACTTACACAAAATTAAAGGTTTTTGTTACATAAATATGATTATTGATTATACATTGTAATATGATTACATAAAAGTAGTCGTTGTACCATATATTGATTAAACTCTACGCTAGAAGAAGATAAGATCGTTTAAAGTTAGGTAAGTTAAATTATCTTAATCTTAATAAGCATGTACATTTGTTTTGTATATATAATTAAGTATATTTGTAATTTTTTTATTGTAAATAAATTCCGCAGTAGGTACATATTTACATAAATACATAATATTATTTTTTATTATCAAAATCTGTGCCATATTAATGAAAATAGATTTAACTCCGCGAATTATAATTCCCAAAAAAGCGTAGCGACCGATACGATTTTAGTTCAATTAAACAATGGATCGAACAGTTCAAAAATATCACATGGAATGAATCTAGGTGTGAAGAATAGGATAAGTTACGATATACACAGACAGACGGTAAATCAGTTTGATGTATTCATTAGCCGCACTCTGTCTTGTGTACGTTTTATTGGCTTCTAAACGTATCATTTTATGTTTCTGGTATGCAAGAATAACAATCAGGGAGCAATTTTCTGGATATTGTAACAGTTTTATTGTTCGTGTGTTTTTTGTACCATCTATATTTGTAACTATAACAGGCACTTATTAAAATTTTATTCGCGACGTGTACTGTTTTCTTTTATTTTCAAGTCTTAAATTTGTTTAGTATTATGGTTTTTTTGGAATCGGTTAAAAAGAGGTGTAGATACCTAATTAATTTTATATGTTTTATGTCCATTGTATATTACGTGATATCTTCGCCAGCAACAAACTTCATGGTGGTCCCCTACAAATTTCTAAGAAGAATTTTTATTAATATTAATGAATAATTTATGACTCAAAAATAATTATTTATGTAAAATTAACAGAGTATCGTGAAGTTTTATAAAATGTAAGGTAATTGTGATTTTTAAATTAAAATTTAAGCATATACCTACAATAAAATAATAGCTAGTCAATTTATGAAATCCTGTTTATCTATTAATACAATTAAATAAATTTAATCTACATAAATATTAATAAAGCTGAATTTTCGAATGTTTGTCCTCTACATGTTTCTAAGCCACTGATACGATTATGATGAAACTCTGGTGAGTTATTTTGTATACGTGTACTGTACTGGGAGGTTTTTTTTTGCAAAAAATAATAATTTTTCTTTGGAAGTTTTGTCTTTTATTCTAAACTAGTGGTTCACTTTTGCTCCGCTCTGGTTTATCCCCACTTACTTTTTAACGCTTAGTATAGACTTCTCAGATTTCTCGCAATGAAAAATATCTAATATGTTGACCCGAATAATCAGTTATCATAGTATCAAAATTTCATCAAAATACCTCCAGTGGTTTTTGCGTGATGCAGTGACGAACAGACAGACACACAAAAATTCCAATAACTATAGAATCGGCCTCTGTATCGATAATAATGTCCATTTCAATAAAATTTTCCAAAAAATATTTAATGTACAGATTCGGTTAAGTTACAATTTTATTATATGTATAGATAATTATCTGAATTATAATTCAAGCTTAGGGACGCACCAGAGTGAAACGAGTGTAAGTCGCTAGTATGTAATAGAAATAACAATCCTAAGTAAAAATATACTCTTTTGAGAAAGATGCTGAACTGTCATACATATTACATGTTAAAGTGATATCAAAGGAACTTGGATATCGGCATTGAATACGACACTTGAGTATTGGCAGACGGATGATTCAACTGCTGGGCGATTGATACTCGTCTACTATTGACAATTCGCCAGAAACTATGAAATATTTATGTGCTATGAAATTGTTATATTATTCCGTACTAACATTTTAGTCAGGTTTATGGATTTTGCTATCGAATTTTAATAGAGAAATCAACATCTTCGATGTCTCTTTTCAATGACAGCTTTGAAATAAAAAATATTTCTAAGGAAATATGAACATATAAAAGTACATTATACTTATATGTTTTTAGTTTTTTTTTACTATTACGAGTATGAGAGGAAAATTCGTGAAGCTCTTTGAATTCTCTTTTGAATTAATTTATATTATTCATTTAATTTTTGTTGTATTACACTTAAAACCAAAAACTATATAGAGATATAGAGCAGGTTTGACTCCGTTTGTACTGTTGCTACTTGCTGTGCCAGAGGTCGCAGGTTCGAGTCCCGCTGGGGGCATTCATTTGTGTGATGAGCACGAATGTTTGTACTCCAGTCATAGGTGTTTATATTATTGATATGTATGTATTTAAAGTTATATATCTGTAGTGTATCAACTATCTATGGTATCCATAACGCCAGCCTCGTAAACATGGAACTAGATGGTGCTGTATGTTAATGTCCCAACATATTTATTTATATTTAGATCTAAGTTGTGTAGGCTTATACAGCAATATAGCATTTTGTATGTTATTCTTTCACATTTTAGCAAATAATTAATTAATCGAGCTTATTATTTATAAATGTATTTATAAATAATATATAAGTAAATAAACGCATGTTTGTCTTGGCCAATTTGAGAAAAAGCAGGCAGTAAACGTTTTTATAGCTAATAAGAAAAAGTAACTAAGTAGTTTTAATTAAAAATATAAGGTAGGCAATATTTGTAGAAGTGCTACGCAGGATTGCTACGAAATTCGCTACGAAAGTACAGGTAGAATAAATAAGATTATTCTGGGTAACAAAGTTACCGTTTATGAGACAATTTTCTACGGTTTGACAGTAATTTGTACATTGAAAAATATATTAAATATGTGCAAGTTACAGTCAGAAATAGATCTGGTCCCAAGTTAAACTGATTTTGGACTAACATTAAGATCATGGTATCTTATACTAAAAACATTTTGAAGGGTTACTTGACATTAGAAATTATATTTTGCCATATTTACAAAAGCTGCAAGGGGGGAAAAGATCGACCGTATAGTTTCTAATGAAAATGTTCGCGTGTCAATTTTTTATGGTTATTTTTTTAGGTAGTAGTAGATACATGCATTTACTCATTTCTTTTCCGATTATCGATTTAATGAAACCATTTATTCAAGGTGTGGTCAAAACAATAATTTAATTAACTTTATATAGAAATATCCAAATTATTTTTAGTGCATATAATCATATTAGTATTTCTACCAGTGAATATGTTTATTTTTGAACTATTAATAGTTTTGTAATTGAAATATTGTATAAAATCTTGCCTTTTTCCTTATCGCCATCCTTTGCACGGCTCTGGTCAAAGAAACCCGTAGTTAGCGCTTTCCTTTTAAGCAAGTACGCTCGTCTCTTCGGCTTCGTTGCGACCGCTGTAGCATTATCTGTCAAGATAAAAGAATATTATTAAATTCCATCCATGCTATAATATCCATACTAATATTATAAATGTGAAAGTAACTTTGTCTGTTACCTTTAAACGCTTAAACCGCTGAACATATTTCGATAAAATTTGGCAAGGGCATAGATTGCATCCTAGGATCGGACATAAACTATCCTTGAATCCCGCCCCGCTTATCCCTCGAAATCACGGGCAACAACTGGTTTATAATAAGACTTTCCTGTTTTTTATTCAAATCGTATTCCATAAATACATTTTGTTTAATCATATTTGTAAGTAAATAAACGCAATGTGAAGATATAAAATTGCTTCTGAGAAAAAATATTTGAAAACTCCATGTAACTTAATATTCTGTAACTAGATAATGAGGAAAATCTAACTGTGAGTAATAAATCTTATGACTAAATGATTGATGTACCTACATCTTAACTTAATGTACTCGTAACTTCTAATGTTTTAATGTATTATCTCTCATAATTAACTATCATCCATTCATTTTTAGTGTCTGGGCGACCGAGCTTAGTTTGGCGTTTTTCGGAAAAGATATAAAAATGCGTTTTTGATCAAAAAATATTTCTATATAGATAAACTTATTAAATACCAAATTTGATTCAAACCGTTAGAGCCGTTTCCGAGATACACGAAATAAAATATACTTACATATATATATATATATATATATATATATATATATATATATATATATACAAGAATTGCTCATTTAATATTATAAGAATTAAATAACACTATAAAAAATATTTGGAAATTATTAAATTAATCATATACAAACACGACAAACTGATGATTTTTAAAATAAGATATATGTAAAGCTTTTTTGGCTAAATCTTGTTTGTTTTGATAATTTTAATAATGCGAATCGAAATTCCACGTAAGCCCCTGCAGTGTATGATGTCGCCAAGATTTCATCAAAACAAGTATCGAATTGCAGCACTTGGGGGTTATCGCGCTCAGCTTTTATGTGTACCGATGGAAAATTTAGTACATTTTTACTATTACATGTTCTTTGCAGTTTGAAAAATAAGATTCGTAGAAGACATATAAAATATAAGAGTTACTAAATATACTTTTGTTATTGCCTATTATCATTGATTGAATTTCAAACAATGTTTTAGAAGTGATGCTTTATACTTTCAATAATAAAAGTTTCAAAAAATTATTAAAATTTCGCTTTGATGGTTAAAGAATTTACAACCTTCACTACACTATCAACCTCCACCTCCTGGCTGCGTTATAAGATCAGCTCAATGATATTACATTCGTATTATCAGCCGAAATCGACATACAAAGTATCAAACCAGTACAACAATTAGAAGTAGGTTAAAACTGACTTCCACCTTAAAAGTGGTCATATATATATATAGTGGTAGCCCAGTGGGCACGTGCTCGCTTGAGAAAATCGAGTGAACAGGTTCATATACCGGGTCACGCACCTCTCATATTATAATGTGCGAATCATTTCGAACATGATTATCACTTGTCTTAGGATGAAAGAAAACATCGCGAGGAAACCTGCATGTCTGAGAGAACCTAGCAAGTTTACGAAAGACATGTGAAGTCAGCCAACTCGCACTTGGCCAGCGTGGTTGACTATGACTTGATGCGCCCTCGTATTTAAGGGAGGTCCGTGCCCAGCAGTGGGATGTGAAAAAGTAAAAAAAGTGTGAATACAAGTATCATAATATAAGTATCTCGAATACAAATATTACATATAAAATATAAGACTTGTTGTGTAGTCAAAACTTTCCACGCCATCCTATACAATAATTACACACAATGTTATTAACATTAGCTTTCGAGAATAGTTATAAAATTCTTAAAAAAACCCTTAAATCTAAATTTGCTTCGTAACAACTAACAAAAAACGGTCTATTTGCAAAGGAATTTAGATTGAAAATTCACGCCGTGAACACGGCGTCGCTGCGTTGGTGTCAGCAATGATTGTCACCTGGGCCAGATATTTTAAACGTTAAATAACGTGAAACACTTTGAAGAAGAGAAAGTGGAGATTCATTAAACATCAATTTAAAAGCGCTTTGTGACTAGAAAAAATAAAATTGTAACAATGTTAAAGTTGTATATTAATTATATATTTTTAGTTGTAGAGGAAAGTATAAAAATATTTTTTAGATTTTTTGTTTGTATGTCGCACCTATCCCTCTTGACTAGACGAATATTATTGGGACTTTAATATTATTGTATAATATTCTAATTTAAGAAATAATTATTTTTCAATTCAATTAAAGTAGATCTAACAAAGCTCAGGTTGAGCTTGCATCGTACTCGTACAGTAAACCGTATTTTTAGTGGATCCCGAGTCCGAATAAATAAAAGCAGATAATACTTACTTTTTTAATTCAAAAGTTAAGCTACCTTCTAATTTGTTCCATTCTTAACGAGTGGATTTTTTTATATTTCAAGCTACTCTGGACACCATTTGCGAAGTTATCACATACAATAAACACGAAAACAAAAGAATATCTCTAAATTAATTTATTTTTTAAAGTCGACCGAAATACGAAAGATACATATTTTTTTTTATTTTTTTTTATTTTTTATTTTTTTTATTTATTTTTTTTATAGTATTCTGAATTAGTGCTTGACTACGTTCCACCTGTTTCAGTAGCCACCTATTCACTCTTGCCTTGAAGACACCCATGTTGTAATCGGACGGAAACACCGACGCCGGCAGGTTGTTCCAATCCTTAGCCGCACGTATAATGAATGACGTAGCGAAACGCTTATTATACACAAATAGTATAAAAACATTATTTCAAGACGATTTTCGATGAAAAAAATAAAAAATGTCATACCCGCCCATCTGCTTCGTCTATGTCGTAGCAGAGCGACGGGTTTGGTTAAATCCCTGTTAAAAAGCATTGATTAAAAGAATCGTCAATCTTTATTAATTTTAATCACGCTTGCCAGAACCTTTCACGTCAGAGATGTTTTTAAATTAAATATTTTTGATCATCTACATACATGATACATGAGAATTTTGATATGTGGAAGTTGTAGGGGCTGAACTGAAATGACATTAAATATATTTGTGCTAGTATAAATTTGTCATATGAGCAGAATTAAAAAGACTTAAAAATTAATTAAATTGAACTTAACTTTAATCTTTAGAAATATATACCTATAGTAAGTATACCAAATGATAAAAATTAATTGAAAAATAATAAATTCAGAAAACTTCAAGATTTCTAAACTCAAGAGGTAAAAAGTATAGTATAATATGCTTGTAAATCTAAAATAATTTTATCGCCACGTAAACAAAGCCGCGCGTGAAGTGTTACGTCCCCAAAGATTTACAATGACAGAGCTAAGAGCATTGTGACAAGAAATAATAAGAACGTTGAAATAGAATTGAAATAAATAGAAAATCACTGAGGTTTAATTTAGAATGATTTGTTGTTTGGTTTGAAATTCAGTTAATCTGAAAACATTATGCTGTAACATTTTCGAATATCAACATTGTTCCAACGAGTTATTTTGGGTTTAAACTTAATGTTAACGCAAGAGTAAGAAGCAAGATTCGACATTATTTTTGACGTTGGCGATTTTTTTTTATAAAACTATCTTTTCGGATTTTGTCGCGAAATATATTTTAAATTTTTCTTCATGCTATCATGATCAAAGGCGAAACTATAGACGTCTCAAAAGTTATTATATATGTAGTCGTTACAGACGGTAGTACCTACTTACCTACAATTATACAATAATTTGCAAGAAATAGAAGAATGTCACCGAAGTGTAAGTGTGTATGGTACTTACAATAGAAATTGTGTTAATTTTAAATTAAAAAAATATTATATACCTATAATAAAATTCTAACTGAGTCGAAACTGTACATTAATAAATTTTTTTGAAACAGAGGCTGAATCTATAATTTTAAGAATTTTTGTTTGTCTGTCTAGGAACGCATCGCAAGAAAACCACTGGACAGATTTTGACTGGAACTGATTGGACTGGAAACATATGTATATGATACTTTTTACTGCAGGAAAATATCTCATCTTTGAAAAATCTATACTAAACGTTAAAACGTAAAGTCACTAATAAGTTATATAATAATATTTAAAAATAGGCTTAATAAATTACCATTAATTTTAATAGAATGAGATCTTATAATTATAATTCCAAATTTGTTTATTATACAAATATATACATTTAATTTAAATATTTAACATAAAATATCAGTATGACGAACACCATAATTTACCTCATGCGAGTGTAGAACCCGTGACACGACGTCTATAATAATATGAATAAAGACACATCAACTCAGCCAGATGGTAATGAAATATTCTTTTATTTTATGTTATATACTATAAGATAAGTTTGCATCTTTAAAATTTGCTTTGAAACGAAAATAAGTAAAAATAATTAGTTTATGAAATCATGCTCCAGACGTAACACCCACATGGGATGATTTGAGCAGCGCTGTATCCTCTATCGCATATGATTTAAATTATTGCCATATTTTTATTATGTATGTTCCACCTTACAATAACCAGTACAGCTAGTAGTTCACCTGATATATACTAGAAGTGCAACTAGAGAAGAAAGATATTTCAGCTATACTAATATAATAGAGAGGAAAGATTTTTTGTTTGTTTGTTTTTACCGAATAAGCTCCGACTCTACTGGAGCGATTTAGATGAAATTTGATAAGAAGATAGTTTGAGACCCTGGGAAATTGGATAGTTTTTAACCCGAAAATCATCCTTTAGTAAGTTAAAATGTTCGTCTTTGATTTCAAAAAGTTTGCTGTCAAATTCACAGAGTATTAACCTCAAACAATGGTTTAACATTTTTTTTGTCTTTTCATTTGTACCCTTTAATCTCCATAACGACAAACTTATTTTAACGGGAAGATAGTAAGCTGTTAGATGATATTTCTATTGATTTATTGCGCAGTTAAGTCGTCTAAAGCATGTCTATTGTCTATAATAGTTGAAA